ATTGCAGAATCTAAATCTGTTGCGAAATCTGCAGAATAAACATCAGCAGCCTCGAAATTTGAAGTTGGCTAGGAAAGAGTACTTTTAGGGCTGAGAAGGTCTGGGGTGAAGCAACCACTCTCGTTCACACTATTCTCACAAACTCTCAGTTTCTCAAATCTCACGTTCTTCCAACTTTATGTTAGAATCGTATCTCAGGTTTCTCTCCTTCATCACTTTGCTTTTTTCTTTTGGATTTAACAAATCTTCAAGCTCTATTTTATAATTTGTAAAACTCAATTCGATAACTTTAGCTCATTTTTTATTTTTTATGTTGAATGCATTATTATTATTATTATTATTATGTTGAATGCATTATTCTTATAAACATATATAAGAATGAAGCGCTTTATTCTTATAAGTGTTTAAAAGTTAAAAGTTGTTAAAATATCTCAAAATTTTAATTTGTGAGAGCAATTAATACATACTTTGTTTAAATATTTAAGTCCTTTAATTTAAAGTACTTCTTCTAAGAATAACTAGAAAAATAACAAACCTCAATTTATGATAAAAATGAGTTAAGGTAATTTAAGTTTTACCTTAAATAAGTTTGCCTTTAATTTAAATTTTATACTTGACTTTTTAAAAGCCTAATTGAATTTAAATGTTATTTTTTAAAAACTGCTTGATAAAAAATTTTAAGTAAATCAATAAAATTATTTTAAACAAACCAAAAGATTTAAGAAAATGCTAACTAGTGTTTTAAGGAACTGATTAACGAATAAAAAAATAAAAATATTTTATTAAAAATTGTAAGAACACTCCTTTATTTTCATGTATTTTAATATAATTTTTAATAAATTATTGTTATTTATTGTTATTTCCTTAATTAGTATTCTAAGAGTATTGGTTAGTAAAATTCAAAGACTTACTTTTGTATGTAGCTTGGTCACCTAATTTAGATAGACAAATAATTATAGAATATTAATATTAATAATAAAAATAATATTGTTAGTATATATTTTTCATTTACTTAAAATGAAATATACTAAGTTTAAAAGATTGTCAATTAAAATTTAACATTGTTTTAAGATTTTTAGCTTAATTAAAATTTTAATTTAATTTTTTATTGTAAAAATAAAATGTAATTAAATTTAAATGTAATTTCAAAATCAAATTAAATTTATTTTATTTTTATTTTAATTTAGATTTTTATTTATTATTAAATTACTTATTTTAAAAATATTTATTTTTATGGATTGATTTAATATTTTATTTGGATTTAAAATTGTAAATTATATATTTATTTACAAAGAAGGAAAAAAAACTAAATTATGAAAAGGTGTTTAGGGCACGTAGCCTGTCATATATTTATAATTATGATAAAAAAATAACATTTATATAAAAAATATAATAAAAAACTAAAATAAATATATTATAATACAATTTAGTTTAGTTTTGTTCAATTCACTTTTAGCAATAGTAACTGAAATTCAAACCAAATTACAAAATTTAATGAAATATTTTTAATCTATTTAGAAGTTTAAAAAAATTGATTTAATTTTGAACATTCCAACTTAATTGTAATTTAGATTTTTTAATTGAATTATAAGTAACTTTAACTTTTCAAATGTGTTTGAGTTAATAAGGTCTGTAATTTTTTTAATTTAAAAAATTGGTTCATGTTGCTGCTTTTTTCACATTAAACCTCTAAATTTATTTTTTTTCCCAAAAATTTAAGAATTTATGATAATTTTGGAGCATTAAATGATTTTAAATTTTTTAAATAGGAAAATCTATAAGCTTTAATCAAATTTGAAGGATGTTATAAGATTTGATATTAAGATTTGAAAAGAAAAAAAATAGTATAAAAGAAGACAAATGATAATTTTTTTTTCTTTAAGATAAAATTTCACATTTTAAATGGTAAATTAAAGTAGATAAAGATTATAAAAATTTTATTGTAGCACCCTATATTTTTTTATTTCAAATATGTCAATTTATGAAGAGTTGTAAGAAATAATTAAACTTTCATCATCCAAATAAATTCAAATTTACTTAAATGAAATATTTATATTACTAAAATTACGTGTAAAATCATAAAAGTTAGAAATAACTGCATAAATATACTATAAATTTATATTAACATACTCGAATTTTTATTTACATCATAAAATATTACATTTACAAACTTTTCATTTAACATATTTTAAAATATACAGTAGTTCATATTCATCTCACATACCTGAGGATCTGAAACTATTCATCTATATCATGTCGTCCTTTAATTTTTGTCAAGTCCTCAACGATTAATTCATTATCCTCTTCAAGGTAGGCATCACTAGAGTCCGCCACTATTTTTATATTAAAAAATCTCTCAAATGTATAGCTATTAAGCTTTCCTGGCAAATCATAATCATAATAAGTAAATACATTATTCATTATCTGATAAGGCTTTTCTATTCCATGGTATAGATGAAAACTAAAAGACTGATGAATTTGATCACTAGTGGAAAAATCAAAAGGTACTGTATAATTATAAATTACTTCTAAGGTATACTCCTGATCATCGTCAAAATGCACTATAAAATTTAAATGTATTACACGTCTATATTCTTCTAAAAACATAATTTAATTTACTACTAGCATAAACATCTACTACACTAATATGCACGGGACGTGTCGTTATCTTTACTACCTGCAGAGTGATGTAAAAGTGAGCATCTATTCTATTTTTCTAATATAACATAGATATATCATAACATTTATCATAACAATATCATAATTATACAATTAAATAACAATTCATACTACATTACCACATATCATATATTTTATTCATCATTCATGTTCACACAACCTTATTGACATTTCCATTCTCAAATTTGCACTTTAAGTGTAATGTGATTATAGTCATTCGATGCTTTCAGTAGTTCTTAAGGTTTTACTCAATCATATAAATAGTCATCAGTTAACTCATATACACAGATACAACGTATATAATAATGAGACTCTTAGCAAAGGCATAGTCAAGAGTCTAGTTGAGAAACAAGTGTGAAGCCATATGTCACATTCGTTCTCAAACAAAATGTGTACATAAACGCGAATGTCATTTACTACTCTACATTTTTCTCATATTTTCTTATCATTTCCGGACTCTATACCCCTAATGTATCTCTGTAACTATTTGCACAAAATTCATTTAGTTTTCAGATTCATTCCATAATCCAATCACAAGATCGTGCTTAATAGCACTTCTAGACTAATTTCATGTTGCTCATACTACTAATTCATAATATCAATAATCATATCATCCAATAAATTATCGATGACTTATTCATCATATTCAGATATTTCTTAACAACAAATAGTTACAGTATATCTCTGTAACTATTTGCACAAAATTTATTTAGTTTTCAGATTCATTCCACAGTCCAATCACAAGATCGTGCTTAATAGTACTTCCATGCTAATTTCATACTGCTCATACTACTAATTCATAATCTCAATAATCATATCATCCAATAAATTATCGATGACTTATTCATCATATTCAGATATTTCTCAACAATAAAGTCATACCATATTCAATGCATTCATTAAATATCATCAAAACTTGCTCAATCATAATTTTATACTTTTCCATCATATCTTTCATATGAGTATAGTATGATTAGTCAACCAAACAATCAAACATATACATAACGACAATCTTTCTTTATTAATACTCATTATTCTAGCATATATTATCAGAAAATGCTATATAAACATACTCTCCTAAACTCAACATATAACCTATAACATATAATAATAAAATAGAGCTCCCTTTACCTTACAAAGTGAAGATCTAAATAAGTGTTGATGATGAAGAACTTTCAAAAATGGCACTTCTACTTAGATAACACGAATTTATCTCTTAAGAAAAAGATTCAAAGAAAACAAGCTGTAAAAATGCGATTAAAATTAGGAAAACTTACTTAGGATCATGTGAAACGAATGGGTAATCACGAATTTGGGAAGAAATAAGTGTTTTGAGGGATTTTATCTGAGAAATTGTAAAGAGAGTTCAGAGAAATGAAGTTTGGACATGAGAGAAAGTGAAGAAAATGAAGCTTTCATACATGAAAAACCTTAAATACGCTTAGAATCGCGGCATTCTCACTACATCGAGCATTTCTCGTTACAGCGAGAAATTACTCGTAACTCCTCGCTGTAGTGAGAGACTGTTAATACACCGAGATGCTTTCACGCTATAGCAAAAGTATCAAACAAAAATTGCACTCTGTTTTCTACACTTTTTGCTACAGCAAGGGATCCTCACTATAATAGGACTTCTCACGGCATGTGATATAATCTTATCTACTTCTCTGACTACAGGGAGAAAGCTTCAAAATGTTCCAATTTCACCGCTTTATTCTCGTTACAACGAGAATTATCTTACTATAGCAAGAATCTTACAGTCCTAACACTTCGAAATTTTTTTAATATTTTCTCACATGCATATTTATTATAACAATACAATTATAATTACTATAAAAATAAAGATGTTACATTGTTTCAATTTAAAAAGTTTTAACTAAATATAATAAATTAAAAGTTTTGAATAAAAATATCAAATTTAAAATTCAATTAACTAAAAATTATCGAGACTGAAGTTACATACAAAATAAAATAAAAAATAACAATAAAATTAGAAAAAGCTAAAACCTGTCTCATCACAATTCTTAAGAAAGGCATTACTAATTTCCCGCTTCTACCTGAAATAATAAAATAATATTCGGTGCCTCGTTGCTCGTGCGCTATAGATTGTCCAAAAAATCAGATCCTTTTCAAAGGAATACTTTGCTTGTTGTTTGCCAACTTCTCCACATTTTCTTTGTTACTTTTTCGGGTCACTTTTTTCCAAGCCACTCTCTCTCTTTGTTCTTCACCTTCAGTCTCTTTTTAAGTGAAACCGTGAAACTCTTTCTCACTTCAGTTCTAGACACAACCTGCGCAAAAGCATAACTTCATTGCAAGACATGGGTACTTCTGACAACAACAACTTTCTCCAAGTTGTCTTCAACAACTTCGATGTTCTTGCTCTGTATGTTTTTTATTTTATTTTATTTTATTTTATTTTTCAGATATCCAAGCTTTTCTGTCATTTCATTTCAAGACCCAAATTAAGCATTTTATTTTGTTTAATTAACATTTTGATCTGAGGGTAACATTCTCTGTTTGTCTTTTCCCGTAGGCCCTTGGTTACTCTTGTTTACCCTTTGTAAGTATGCTGCTGCTTTTCATTTGGGAGATTTATGTTTCAATTTTTTACCTGTTTTTTGCGTACCCTCTGTGTTTATGGTAGATATGCTTCAATTAAGGCTATAGAGACCAAGTCTAGTGCTGATGATCAACAATGGCTCACGTATTGGATTCTGTATTCCATTATCACAATATTTGAACTCACATTTGCCAGAGTTCTTGAACTGTAAGTTTCCTTCTTAATAATGATTGAATATAGGAGTGAGTACATTATAAATGGTTCAATTTAGCTGTTGAGTGTGCTCTCTGTTCCCTCATAAGGACGAGGAGCCTACATTGTTCAATCACCTAATTTGTAGTTGCTTCACAATTTCACTGCCACTCTTGTTGATCAAATTCATATGATGTAGAGGTTGTTGATAAATGAAGCAGTTGCAAACTGAATGCCCTTTTTTTAACTGGATGAGTTTGTCTTTGATGGGAAATATGTTTTAAATCCCTGTATTTTCATAAAACTTATTTTTGTTTTTCTAAATTAAGCAATTTTAATCTCCTTCGATGACGTGGTCCAACAAAAAATTAACACACGATAACTTTTTAGTTAATCATGTAATTACTAAAGACTAAAAGTATTAAAATGGACCAAAACTGAAAAAAGTAGAAATTAAAATTTTATAGAAATATAGGAAAACTTTCACTGTTATTTCTCCAATATAATTGTAATGCTAATTTCAGGCTTCCCATTTGGCCTTTTGCCAAGTTGATATTCAGTTGCTGGTTGGTTCTGCCTCACTTCAACGGGGCTGCGGTTGTTTATAGGAATTACATTAGACCATTCTATATGAACCCACAAATCCCAATTCCACACGCTTCTCAAATCTGGTATGTTCCACGAAAGAAGTCCTTATTCAGTGAACCAGATGATGTTCTAAGTGCTGCTGAGAGATATATGGAGGAACATGGTACAGAAGCATTTGAAAGACTTATAAGCAAGGTATGCATATTACCCCATGTTCTTGGTGAAGAATTATTGGTCCTGCTCCAAGGTTAGATCTTTCTAAATTTGAGTAAATATGGCTTTGGGACTACTCAACTAGCTTATGTTATTAGAGAATTTCCCTATCCCTAATTATGCCTTAAGATATTTCTGAAGATACAACATTTAATGATGAAGTAAAAGTAGAATTTTGGACAAGTCTCGTATAGCTGTCCCTGGATTATTGCGTATTGACCGAGGGAGATTTGGTTTCTTGGTGTATATTTTAGAAATTTATCAGTAAGATTCAGTATGAGTAAATTTCTCAATAATCATTTGTAAGATAAGAAAATGAAATGAATTAAGAAGATAAAATAATCAAACAACCTATGCACCTTAATTTTTTTAGAAATTCTCTTATTAAATTTCTCCATAAGTTGTGATGTGTATATTAAATTTTTAAGGACGAGATACATGAGTTAATTTTAACTTATACAAAAAGTTTAATTAATTACACTTTCTTCTGTATTTGATTTCTTATATTAGTACTTGTCTAAAAATTTATCCAAACTAATCTTAAATCTATCTTACTTTCTACATTGACTTTTACCAATGCCCCCTTTTTTCCTTTTTGAGTCATTTGAGCTAGTGAACCCTGAATACACCATGAAATTTCAATTACGAGTTGAAAGTACATGTGTTTTAGACGGTCATTTCTCTTGTAAATTCATATGGTGGTAACTTTTTAACATAGCAAGTTTCACTTTTGGTGTTTGTGAAACGATATTTTAATTATAAAAACATAATAACATGTATTTATTGGCTTTGATGTGCAGAATGACAGACAAGCTAGAGCAAGAAGGAATGGAAATTACATGATCTTTGATGACGACTATAGATATTGAAATTTGTTAAGGCATCACTTTGGCAGCAGCTAATATTTCAATAGATCATTGTATGATCTTTTATGACGACCATATATATTGTATTTTGTGAAGGCATCACTGTGCCAGTTGCTAATATTTCAATAGATCATTGTGGAATGAAATATACATTAAACTATTGTAGTAGTTATAATTCTCTTTATCATGAATATTTTAATAGATAGTAGCTTTTTCCTTGATTAGCCCTTTAGCCTGATCTATAAGAAGGTAAAGGATCTTTCATTTAGTCTTTCCTCTCTCGTTTCCCTTTTTAGTAACATCGGAGATGATTATTGGTTGAGATTGATGATAGAAGAAATCAAACCCGTGGGTTTCAAAATTGATGATTTGCCTGAAATTTACTCAAAGTTCTCTAGCTAATTACAGTTTGCATTCTAAGGAAAGGACATTGGAAGTTTTTTATTATAATAATCTTAATATAATTTATTATTTTTTATTTTAAATTTATTATTATTATTTATTATTTTAATATATTTAAACATCAAATACCTTTTCCTCTATTTTTATTATCTTTCTTATTCTCTGATTTCTTTCACTCTTATTTTTTACCTTTTAATTTCATCTCTCATCCAAACAATTAAATGGTCCGCCCCTTAAATTACTCCGCATGCGTAGTTCTTTAATTTTATTTTAACTTGAATTTTTTTCTCATCTTAATTCTTATTTTAAATCAATCAATACACAAAAATAAATTATTTTTTCGATTTTTAAAACAATACTCATTCATATATAATTTTTCACTTACACTGAGGAAATAAAATTATTGAAATTGCAAGGGATGTAATACATTAATTTTGTATATTTTTTTAGTTTGATACAAGGGAAATACATAATTGAAATGATATGATTTCAGTGGATCTCCCGGTGAAAAAATTAATTGCTTCTGAGGCAGGAAAAGCAGCTGTTCACGACTTCTTCTTTTTTTAATTATTTGTTTAATCAATAAAAATTATTATTTGATGAATAAAAAATAATAAAAATAATTTTATATTAAGATAAAAAAAAAAGCTTAAAATTTTCAAGTTAAAATTATTATAAAAAATATTTTTCTATTATTTATTTATTCTTTTTTCTACTTTTTCTTTTAATTTTTATTCATTTGACATTATTTTTACTATATTTTCCTTTTATTTACATCTTTTCTATTTTAACCCTCGTATATACAAAACACTAAGCAATTAAATTGTAATAATAAAATAATAACAAATTTTCTATAATAACAAAAAATATTCTCATTTTTTCAATTCTAAACTCTCTTTTTTCAATTTTTTCATAAATCTCCCTAACTCCATTTTACTTTATCTTTTTCTCCTCTCTCTTTCTCCTTCCCCTCGTCAAATCTCTTCATGCATGATTGATTTATAGAGGATGAAATTAAATGGAGGTACAAATTCTCTGTAGTTGTAATGAAAATTAGAAGTCTAGTTTTGTTTTCACTTAAAAAAAATGAATATGCTTAAGTGAAAATATAGAAAATGATTAAAAAATAATAATACAAAATTCGCTTACATCCCCTTCTCCACCCTTTTGCTCTCCCTTTTTTCATATGCCTAACATTCACTTCTCAACTTTTATATCTAACTCCTTCCTTCTTTACTTGTTCTTAGGCAAGTATACTCGTCGAAAAATAGTAAAGAATTTTAAAAGAAGTTTCCAAGTTATTATCCCATAGAGGTTGTTTTCAACTACTAAAAATATCTTAATTTAATTGTTTAAATTAAAATGATGTGTGATGAATTAAAAAAAAAAGAGGAATTTAAATTAAAATAAAAATAAAAAGACACAATTTTTTATAAAAAGGAGATGAGATGAGCCTAGAGCATATGATTTCACCTATTATACATTTTTTTTGTTTTCTTTAATCTAATTCTAGTATCAATTCCTCTATGCTTGCCAACCATTCATACGTATTCTCTTAACACTTAATGATCATGTAATGTTAATATTTTTTTTTTAGGCAATGACCATCAATGATCATGCAAGGCAAAATATAAAAAAAATATAAAGAACCTATAGGTTTGTTTATTTAATAACGGTTGGAAGAGAAAAGTTAAGCTTGATCCACTTAATTCTTTGTCTCTTTTTATCTTATAGTTCCATCAATTACATGTAATACGTCCGCCTACAATGCAACTAACAATGTGATACTAAGGGTGATCAATTCTTAACATGTAAAATATAATTGAATAGAATAAAAGTCAAATATTAAAAAGAAACTAACATTGTCATTAAATATAAAAATCACATAGAATATGTAATAAGATTTACCATAACCTTAGCTATGGATTTAGTTACTCATAGTAAAGTAAATAACAAAATTATTGTAAACAAATCCACAAACAATCAAAAGGAGAATTCAAACTGAAGGAACCCAAAGGGAAAAAAGATGAAGGAAGTTCTCATTCTCTAAAAGATGCTTAATCACTTGTTTAAACTTCGAAGGAACGTTCGTTGTCTTTGCCAATGATCTTTCCATTAACTTCAATAGTTGATTAAGTCAGGATTTAGAATATGCCTTTCTTAGGAGTACAAGACTTCTTTATATAGGACGTAGAATGATATATAAGATCATAACTTGACCTTCAAGAGATAAGCTCAGTTTTTAAGAAAGGATATTTATTTTGTCAACCTTCACAATCTCAGTTAAAAATCAATTCAAATCTTTAGATCCAAATCTAATATTCGAATTCATGATTTAAATATTAAATTTAGAATTTGAACTCAGATTGAACTAGTACATTCGTATATAACCTCTAGCACAGTCGTGCTTAAAGCTTTGAAGCACACCCATATTGATATTGCGAAGTAAGGCTATGCTTGCTCTTGGACAAAATTCTAACTTCAGTTAAATTATCTAATTTTTTGTCTATAATATTTTTATAATGCACTGATGAATGCTTCAAACTTAATTGCAACAATTAACTATATAATTATTGTAAAACACTCGTAAAAAAAGTTTTAAGTGTATAAATATAAGTAATAAAATATATCAAAATATAAACTTATCACCCTAATACCCAACTTCTCTCTTCTTACCCCAACTCCTTCTCCGTATCGATATACCCAACTCTTCTCTTCCTCATCCCCACCCCCAAACTCACCTCTCCCATCTTTTCCACATACTCAACTCTGCTACCATCCTCTTCCTCTACTCCCACTTCCATACCACTCGCCCTTCCTATGTCCATTCATACCCTTCTTACCCCTAGCCCCCTCTCCTCCCTCTCATGAGAAACATGTGAAATTCATTTAAGCAAATCTTGTATAATTTTTTTTTTTTTTGCATTTTCATTTAGGCGAGTCTATTTTTTCTTAATGTCTAGTTTCCACTACAATAAGAGAAGTTTTGGATCAACTAAATGGTGGGACTTGATGACTGATTTGTGCATATAGGGGTAGCAGGCAAGGTTAGTGAGTGGTATAGGTAGTGATTAATGAGGGTGTAATGATCAGTGCCATGTGTTGGGCACGGGTGGCATGTTGGTGGTGGATGAGGATAATATTTATTATTTTTTAACACTACAAATAATAAGTTTTTGACAAAAATAAAATAAATTATATATTACATACATTTCTTAAAACCAATTTATTTACATATATGTCTTTTTTTTTTATGTAACATAAGTCAATTAAAATCGACTTTTGTACAAAATATTTTAGTTTCAGTCATCATTATCGCTCCTTTATATATCTATAAGCATGTTAAACCATGTGAAAAGTTAAGTAAAACCATTTTACTTGTAAAGTAGAAGTCAATTCTAATCAACTTTTGTGTGTGAGACACTGCATGTGGAAGTTGATTTTAATAGACTTTAGTAAATCCATAAGATCAAATGGACAGGGAAGAGGAGGGAAGTTTAATGCATTATTTCATTTATGCCCAACATTAATAACTACTAAAATCAAATGAATAGAGAAGACGAGGGAAGTTTAATGATATTTTTGATTGTGCATAAATGAAATGCTTGAGAAAAATAATTTAACAAATAACATTGAAAAGGAGCGAGAAAATAAAAGAAAAAAGAATTTCAAGATTATTTTTTTACATGTTATGTCTGTTGAGAGTATTAGTGTGTTGTTAATATTGAATAAGAGAGAAAGGATTCATTAGTCATTTTTTAAAAATTTCTTTCCAAGTATAAAAAGTGTAAAGAAGTGTGTTAAAGAAAGATTTTATAAAGTAATGACACCTCATCAAATTATGTGTATGTATGTATAATATGTACATCTCATACACACATACTTACAAAGGTACATAACAATTTTTATTTACAAATATACATGTATGGATATAGATAAAATATATTTCAATTAATTTTTTTTAACTGATAATAATTTAAAAAATTTGTGAATATATGTTCAAATTCAAAAAATTTGATAATAGTTTACATAAATTAATAAATAAAAAAATGATATATGCATGATGTATTTTTATTTATAGTGTAGTTGATATATAATTTAATGCTATAGTATAGTAAATTTTACATACATCCCTTCTCTCTATGTATTTATATTTATATATATAAAAAAAGAATCACGATTAGTTGATATTATATGTTAAATTTAAATACTTTCAGCATTTAAAAACTTTTTATAAAATGTGAATTTTTTTTATTATGTAATTAAATTTATAAATTTTTATACAAATACAAAATTCATATGTACTTTTTCATATTTCTTTATTTTAATAGGTGTTATATTTTTTAAATATAAATAAACATTAAATTTTAATTAATATATTTATAAATATCTAAATTATATAAAATTTGATGTACATAATTACGTAGATAATATAAATTGTTATACTAATTAACTTGATCAATTTTAATATACGTGAAAAGTTATTAAAATATATAAATATTCAAATATAACACATGCTTCAATATAAAAAATATAATTTAAATTAATTTAAATACATTCTAGTATTCTAGTGAAATTAAACATTTCAAATTTAATTTTATCAAAAGTTTAAATAAAAGACACTTGTTTAATACGATTTACCCATACTAATTTTATTGACCATTGTTCACTTATTTGTTCCGTATGTATTCACTTGAAATTTTCCAATAACACAATTATTAAGTTTAATGGTTTTATTATTGTCAGTTTTTAACATTAAGTTTAAATATTTAGAAATAATAATTTTTTTAAAATTTTATTTTTATTATGTTAAAAATAATAAATATTTTCTACGTTTTAAAATTTAAATTCATTCTTAAAAATTAAAATTATCAAAATGGTAAACTTTTCCAACACGTGCTGCTCACCTCCCAAACAAGGACAACCTTATGATTGATATCAAAAACCAAATGAAATTTCCTCCGCAGGGGTAGATATACAAATGAAAGCCCAAGAGACTACAGATTGAGTCGCGGATTAATTAATGCCTAAATGTCTTCAATCCTTAGTCAAACCCTGGAAAAAAACAAATGGAACCAAGATTATCGGGTGTGGTAAAGAATACGGTGTACCCCATTTAAAACGCAAGTGTTAATTTTAGGAGCTCAGTCTCTGATTAAATAAAGGGCAATCCCTAGAAGGTCTCACCGTAGTCGTGGATGCACGGGATCCGAGCACCCTCTGTTCGGACGAAGAGAGCGACACCAGCTAGGCATGTCGTTTCAAATCCCGAAATTGGACTCATTTGTCCCCCCAAAGTTCAAGAAAACGACAAAACCAGCCATCCCTATCTCCCAGATTTCAGTTGGTGACGTGGCATTAACCGGCAGAAAAAACAGTTAGCTCCTCTCGGAAGAGAGAGAGAGGGAGAGAGAGGCCCTTTTCGCGTGTTCACAATTTTCGAACAACGCTCTGCGAATTGGAGCTGAGTAAAAACCCAAGTCATTGTCTCCCAACGACGGTAACTCCAAATCGCAACCCCTGGTTAGGCCAATTTCCTTCACCGCGGTTTCAACGACCCTGAGTTCTTCCATAACGGTTAGGTTTTCACGATTTCTGAGGATTCGTTACAATGTTGCTACTTTTGATTCCCGCTGCGTCGTTTTGTCCCACATTTGAGGCGTTGGAGGTGCTTTGCTAGAGATAATCCGAGTAATTCCAAGGTTTCGTGGGATTCGAGGTGGGGAACGAATTTTCTAGGGTTTAGATAACCGGAGGAAAATTTCTCTGCCGTTTTATGAAGCTGGGGGTGTCGTTGAGCTATGGGGTAGATAAAAGTAGCTCATTTTTATCCATTTGAATGCGCTGAATCCGTTTTGATGGGGAGAGGTTGGACATTGCTCTATGGTATATGTTTTGTTTTGGGTTGTTGTTGTGGTTCAAATGGGTATTGGGTCCATTCTTGGGAATCACTTGTTATTGCAACTTGAATGGCTGATCCTCAGAAAACTGCTCCTGGCGAGAGGGATATCGAGCAGGTTCTGTTATTGCTTTCTTTACTTTCTTTATGTTTTGTAATGATTAGTGTAAGAAAATAGTGACTTGAAAGCACTCCATTTGCTTATCTGTTTGTACCATTCACCGTAGTTTTTATTTCTTTGTTGTTATGTTCTTGCTCAGCTAATATATTTTAATGGGGGTGAATAATAGTTTATACTAGTTCTTCTTTTCTAAAATGAGGAGTTGTTGAAGATGGAAGCAGGGTCTTCCCTTGTGCTATGGAGTTTTGAAGTCATGGGATTATCTTCTTATATGGATAACTAAATTTTTTGTTCACTTTATAGGCAATTACATCTCTTAAGAAAGGTTCATATCTGTTGAAGTACGGGCGAAGAGGGAAGCCGAAGTTCTGCCCATTTAGGCTTTCCAATGTAAGTTGTTATTGCTATTTCTCCAAGACATGAATCTAGCTCAGTTTTTTGTTTCAATTAGAAGTTTATACCATTTGTACAAAACAAAGTTCGTAAGATATTGAAGACATTAACAGTTTAATAATGGAAGGTGATCAACACAACAATAATTAGGCCATTTTATAGAAATGATGACAGCTAAATCATGATAGTAGAGTAAAACCAGTAGTTGAAATGTTGAATATATAGTCCAGTAGTGAACGGTAATTTAGGAACATGTGAGTTTTGTTTCTATATATAGCATGCAAGTTATGCTTGAGAAGAACGATCAACAGCGTTGTCTTTAGATGCATCATATCTGCAATGTTGAAATACGGAACTATTCTGTATTATTCTGATTTTATCCTAATCCATTCACATATTAGTTCTACACATCTGAAGCATTGTGGTTTCCAAATAAATTTAGAATGTAAAAGAAAGAAAATTAGCATGTTATGTTCTGTTCTATTCAATGCTTTTGGTTTTGGTTTCAGGATGAGTCTCTACTTTTATGGTACTCTGGCAAGGAAGAGAAACAACTTAAGCTCAGTACTGTTTCAAAGATCATTCCTGGGCAGCGTACTGTAAGTTTGTAGAAAAGCCTATAGACTATTTTCTCTGGTTAATTCTGAGTGCTGTGATTGCAACTTCAATGATGTGCCTATATCTTAGCACAATATTTTGTTCTTGAGGGATTTTGCACTTTATTCTTTGTATTTGTAGGCTTAGTTGGAAAAATACATATGTTTAACTGATCCTGTTTTATTTTTGCCGTCACCTTGCTGCTCAGTACTCATTATTTTGATTTGGTGTTATCATCCAGGCAATATTTCATCGGTATCCTCGGCCTGAAAAGGAATATCAGTCATTTTCTCTTATATACAATGATAGGTCCTTGGATTTGGTGCGTTCTCTTTCTGCATAATTGTTATGCGAATTAAACCTACTAGCCCTATAATGAAGATTGTCTCAATTTTTTTCTTCTCTTACTCTCCTGGTTATGAAAAAGGCTACTCTGATAGTTTTAAAGTAGTGCATTGGATAAGATAGTGGAATTTATACCTTGTAGACTTCATGATATGACTCATTGCCATTCTATGTATAGATATGCAAGGACAAAGATGAAGCTGAGATCTGGTTTGTTGGTCTTAAGGCTTTAGTTGCCCGAGGTAACAGTCGCAAGTGGAGATTTGAATCAAGAACTGACAGTCTGTGTTCTGATAGTCCAAAATCTGGCACACAAAGATCCACTCCGTCATTTTCACCATTTGTATGTAACAATTTCCTTCATCTTCTGTTGTTTCATACAATTCAGATAAACTATTAGACATTGACAGTTTGCTATGTTTTTCAATCTTTCTAATTTAAACAACAGGAGCCTGGAGATACGGGCAGTGGTTCTTTTGATCTGCAAAATAAATGGGTAAAGGCTTTCTCTGAAATAATTTCCTACACTGCAGCCAGCAAAAGTCCCAGTCATACTGAATCAACTGCGAATTGCTCTTTATCCTCTGGGTCCGTGGATAACTCTAGCAATCGAAATTCTGCATCTGAGGCATTTCGAGTTAGTTTATCTAGTGCTGTAAGTTCGTCCAGCCAGGGTTCTTATCCTGAAGATTTTGATGCCCTGGGTGATGTTTTTATTTGGGGAGAAGGTCTTGGCAATGGAATTCTTGGTGGTGGTGTCCATAGAGTTGGAACCTTATCTTGTTCTGAAATGGATGCATTCCTCCCCAAGGCATTGGAATCAAAAGTAGTTCTAGATGTTCATAGTATTGGTTGTGGGTACAGACATGCTGTTCTAGTTACTAAGCAGGGAGAGATATTTAGTTGGGGGGAGGAGTCAGGAGGTAGGCTTGGACATGGTGTAGAAGTGGATGTTTTTCACCCTAAACTCATTGACACTCTTAGTGGCATGAATATTGAGTTAGTAGCATGTGGAGAATATCATACTTGTGCTGTTACTTATTCTGGGGATCTTTATACATGGGGTGATGGTGTTCACAATTCTGGCTTGCTTGGACATGGAAATGAAGTCAGTCACTGGATTCCTAAGAAAGTAAGTGGTAACTTGGAGGGTTTACGTGTATCATATGTGTCCTGTGGACCTTGGCACACTGCTATTGTTACATCAGCTGGGCAGTTGTTCACATTTGGCGATGGAACTTTTGGTGCCTTAGGCCTTGGAGATCATAGGAGCACAAATATTCCTCGGGAAGTAGACACTTTGAAAGGGTTGAGAATAACCAAGGTTGCCTGTGGTGTTTGGCACACTGCTGCAGTTGTTGAGGTGATGAATGAATCTGTGGAATCTTCTACACACTCATCTAGTGGAAGACTCTTCACCTGGGGTGATGGAGATAAAGGCCAACTTGGACATGGTGATAGGGAACCTAGACTAGCTCCTGATTGTGTAATTGCATTGAGTACTGAAAACATTTGCCGAGTGGCTTGTGGTGACAGTCTTACAATTGCTTTGACAACATCAGGACATGTATATTCAATGGGAAGTACAGCTTATGGACAACTTGGTTGTCCTGCAGCTGATGGAAAAGTCCCAACACGCGTTAGAGATAAAATTGCTGACAGTTTCATAGAAGATATTGCGTGTGGTTCATATCATGTTGCAGCCCTGACTTCCAAGGCAGAGGTTTACACATGGGGAAAGGGTTTGAATGGGCAATTGGGTCATGGAGACAATGATCACAAGAATAAACCCACACTTGTTGAGTTTTTGAAAGATAAGCAAGTGAAAAGTGTTGTTTGTGGTTCAAACTTTACTGCTGTTGTATGTCTTCATAAATGGATACCAAGTCTTGATCATTCTGCATGTTGTGGTTGTCGTAATCCATTTAATTTCAGAAGAAAGCGTCATAATTGTTACAACTGTGGACTTGTGTTTTGCAAATCATGCACCAGCAAGAAATCTATAAAAGCTTCCCTTGCTCCCAATTCCAACAAGCCATACCGGGTTTGTGATGATTGTTATCTTAAACTTAAGAAAGCTGCTGAATCAGGACCGGTGGTTCAAACTCCTAGCTTGAGATGTGTAAGTTTGCAAGACAGTAGAGCCACTAAAACACAGGGAACACTTTTAAGACTTTCATCTCTTGGATCTATTGGTCAAGCAGAAAGCAGTCAACCGAAGCTTCCAGATTCACATGATAGCCATCTTTTCCCAGCTTTGAACGGAAAATTACAGATGGGGGGGTTTGCTTCTTCAAAATCAGCAAATTCTAATTCTAGGGATTCTAAGAAACACCTTTCAGTTTCTGAGCCTGCTGCAAGAATATCTTGTCAATCAGCATCTCCAGTTTCATCAAAGTCAAGTCCAAGACAATCTTATGAATATGTCAATGACGATTTAAAACACAGAAATGATATTCTAAGTCAAGAAGTTTTAAGTTTAAAGACACAGGTAAGGTTGATCAAATATATCTGATTCATACGTGTATCTATCATTGTAGAGAACCTTGCTTAATCCTAATGAAAGTATAATATGATAGATATGTTCCATTGTTGTGGTTAACTTTGTCTTCGAATTTGGTATCCCTCCTTCATGCTTATGTTCTTTCCCACCTAAAACAGTTTGAAAGGGGCTTTTCATGTCACATGTATGTACTCTATGTAAGTAATATTGATCTTTCTGGGAGTGATGCTTGGCAATTTTGTTTTCATGAAATTGTTGACTAACATCTAGAAAATTGCATATCTCTCATTGTTAAAATATTGTTTTTGAATAAAAGAAGAAATTGCTTAAAATGTGAACCAGCTAATTAGAGTTTGGAGGATAAGGGTGAACTTTAACATCAAAAAGGAAAAAATGAAAAAAACTTCTAAGATGGAAAGTTCTGCAAATATTGTATCATTTGAACTTTATCATGAAAAGCATTCCATATATTGCACTATTTGCATCAATTGTTTGCAATGCATTTTGATTTATTAGTTTGTATTCACTGCTCAGATTTGGGTAGAACCTATAGTCATGTAAGATAATTGAACTAAAAATTATCCAATAACTAAATTGAAGTTATTATAGTTTTTAACTTTCTAATATTGTTTTGACTATTTGTTTAGGAACTATAAAGTTATAAATATTTGAAGTATACTCATCTCAAAGCTGATCAAATATACTGGTTAGGTTGAAGATCTTACTCATAAGTCAAAGAGTCTTGAGGCTGAACTTGAGAGAACGTCAAAGCATTTGAAGGAAGTGACTGCAGTAGCTGCAGATGAAGCTGGAAAGTGTAAATCTGCAAAAGAGGTTATAAAGTCATTGACTGTACAGGTTGGGTATTCTATCCTAAGGGTTTTTTTTTTTCTCTCTTCTAATTTTTATTCTCTATATTTGCAAGCATTGTTGAGGTTTGTTAATTTGCTCTATGGATTATGTAAGTTTTGCTTGCAAGGGCAGATCTAGAGCTAAAAATCTTTGGGGGATCATATCTTGGGAATGAGAATAAATGAACTAATATAGGACCTTGGGTGAAATAACCAAAACTAGGGAACCAGTTACATTGAATTTTACTTTGTGTTCAATATAAAAGGCAATTTGTGCATGTCACAACTTTCTTTCTGAGGGGCGATCATGTGGTATCTACTGCATATTTCTACAGTATGATGAACTGGTTAATGCACATGGTAAGTAGCAGGTCTTTAGATTTGATGTTTAAAACATTCCAGCTTTGGAACAAAAGATTGATATAAACAGATGGGATAGAAGATGAATACTTAATAAATCTACACAACTTAAATCATCATACTGTAGAAATATTGATATAAATAGATGGAATAGAAGACGAATACTTATTACATCTACACAACTTAAATCATATTTTGGATAAAATCTCTTGATGAAAATGAATTCAGTAACCAAGCCGACTATTTGATTGTGTGCAATAAATGCTGTTAATTTGTACCCCATCAGTAGGTGAAAATTACCCGCACTCAGCACCATCTCTATGTTTGGATCGAGAGAATGAAGATAAGGAAGAAAGAAAACTTAAAAAATTTGAAATTTTCTCATTTCAATGAAGAGTAGGGAAGAAAGAGAACTCCATAACCCAAAAACAAAAAAATCAAAATTTTCTATGTCAATTTTTTAAAATATCTCTCCTTTCTTGTGTTCTTTCCTCCCATACAACTGAAATTCACCACGAAAAGTGTACAGTTAGTGTTGTCTTTGCTGACAAATGCCTAAATTACAGTTTACCTGTTGAAGGATTTAAGAAAAAAAAATGGGGGTAAACTAATTTTTTATCATTAGAATTGGGACATAACAAATCCATGATATATTTCTTTTGGTTTGTGGCAATCAAGAGATGCAGGATTAGGTGATTGCTATTGAAGTTGACCATTCCTGTGCTTTAGCCATTGATCAATTATTTCCCGTGGATGTTAAATTGTGTTACAGTTGAAGGAAATGGTGCAAAGACTGCCAGAAGGACATAACGCTGACTCCAGTGCAGAGTCCTGTGCTGAAACCACTAATAGTATTCTAAATCAGTCCATAGATGAAATCCATTTAACAAACACTCTCACCCCCAAAAATGAAGGCAGCAGCAATGTAGCAAATCAGATATTACCTAATGGTGTAAGAACACAAAGTGGAAAGGCAGAGTGGGTGGTGCAAGATGAACCAGGTGTGTACGTAAGTTTGTCATCCCTGTCATGTGGTGGTAATGAGCTTAAGCGTGTTCGCTTCAGGTACTTATTCTTTGCTATCCTCTAATTACTATATGTATCAAAACTTCATCACATTTGTATATTGACTGTAGGTTTTATTCTAAAATTTTATGCCCAATGTTAGAATAAATTCTGTCATGAAATAATAAGAGTAATTACAGAATAGTTTATGAACACAGAATCTCCCCATAGATGAGAAGTGACTCTGCTTGGTTACAAGACCGATTTGTTATTGTAGGATTTTCTCTTTTGACATGAGTACTTTTATCACTACTTTCAACTCAAGCACAATGGATGATGTTGAGATCCTCTGTCAACTACAAAATTTGGCTAAAATTATAGCTTATAAAGTTTAAGGCAATTTTTACTTTCATGAGCTAGCTTCTGAGGTTGAGTTGGGCCAAACTCAAATTCGAGATGGTATCAAAGCCTATTATAGATATGATATTGAGCCATCCTCGACTGTCTAAAAATATTAGAAAACTAGCCCCTCAAATTTTTCTATTGCAGTCAACCTGATCCTGTGGTTTTTTCAGTGCAACCTAATTGGGCCTGCAGTTTTTTTGGTGCAATATAAAAAAATATCATTCCTACAATCTCCATATTAAAGTTGTCTAATCCTGGGCATGAAAGAAGCATGTTAAGATCTCACATTAAGTGTAGACATGGCCAAAGTAGAACTTTTATAAATGTTAAGAAAATAGTTACTTTACAAGATAGCTTTTAGAGTTGAGTAAGGCCAAAACCCAGAGATGATGGCGATCAAACTATTCAAAGTACTTTTCCAACCACCTTGCATGCCATATCCTTCTTTTTTACCCTTTTTATCTGTTGCTGTTTCCTTACCAAATCTGAAACTCATCTTATTATAGGATAGATTTAACAGGTCAGCACATACATCTAGTTCCACTTAAAGCTGACTCCATAAAAGCAACATAAAATACAATTAGGGCAGGTTGATGTGGGGGCTATAAGCTTGTGTCACTTAGCGTTCAATCATGCAGCTTTCTGGTAGTTCAACTTGTATTGTTGTCTCATAAGAAGACTATTAGCAAATTGTTCCAATGAACACTTGCAGCATAACAACTTAAGTATCAAAACTGTCTATATCCTTGGGCCAGAGTTTGCCAATTCTATCGCAATACTTTTATGATGGATTTGATACTTTCAAGTTTCAATACACTTATGACTAGTTGTCTGCCCTAGACCAAAACAACGGAACAGAGGCATGTTGCTTTGTATATACTTCTAAGATAGATAAATCATAATATTGCTGATAGATATTCTTTACTTACTTAGTTAGTTTGTTACATCAATTAGTTAGTGGAATAATTGGTTGCTTTAAGGCAAGCTACCTATAAATAAGAAAAGTTGTTGAGAGGGACCTTTGACTTGGGAGGTGCAGTCCCTCGAAGAACTGCAGTCCCTCGAAGAACTGCAGTACTCTAACTTTGAATCGGGGATTATTTGTATCTTTTCTTAATAAGATACCTAATTTCTATCAGTTGCCTTTTGCTTGAGTTTTATCTTCCAAATTCAATTTTAAAAATTTAGAGATTTTGAAATGTTGTTGACTAAAATATATTCATTTGCAACCCTTATGTCATATTAATCTATTATTTTGCAATGGCCAAATTCAAATAATTTACTGGCTAGACCTCTAGCAAATGCTTATTTCAAAACGAATTGATAATTCATGCAAGGAAAAGGGACTTACCTGTACAGTTATCCTGTAATTGTATTGACAAAAATTAGCTGTTAAAAATTCAGATATTACCAAGTTCACACACACAGGTATATCATAATTTACAAGTCCTATTTAACCCTTGAATCCCTTAGTAAATGACGATAAGAAGCTGCTGACCAAAATTTATTTTGTTCCTTGCAAAGTTGAAAAGTATTGATTCTCATGCTAAGTGCACAACCTTTCTATTTTAGTGGTTGAAATCAAATTATCAATCAAGGAAATAGTTTCAAGTGGGTATAGAACAATATATGAAAAATATGTATCAATTGTGGCTTGATCCTTGACTTGATATGGTAGCCTAATGTCCTCGCCAAAGTCAAGGACTGAGGGGAAAGCACATGTCTGATTCACCCCCTCCCTTGCTAGCTATATGAATGTGTAGGTGTGTAGCCCAAAAACAAAAGAAAAAGGAAAATCTAGTGCTTTCATTTAAAATTGTGATGGATGTTTAAGAATATTTTCTTTCTCTGTTAATTTGGTGATAGGATACTTAACTCAAATTATCAATTGTTTTAACAGTAGAAGGCATTTCACCGAAGAACAAGCTGAAAAGTGGTGGGCTGAAAATGGAACCAAAATATTGGAGCGGCACAATATAGTTGCTTTATAGAAAGCAAGTGAATGTATTCCCTTGAGTAAAAAAGTGAACCTTCTTCTGTGACCCTGTGGAAACAGTAAATTCTTTTCCCTTCTCCCTCTTCCAAAATTAACAAGGATCTTTTGTCCAAAATGGACAGGTAGGATATGAAATTATGGGAAAAAACCACAGTAGGAAGGAAACTTATTACTTTCCAGAAAAGTGCTACTAAACCCCGCTTCCCAAAAAAAATAGCGGAGGAAAATTTTCCTTACTGTACTCACTGACGACGAGTGCGGTGCAATTCAGCTGTGTCTCTCTCTCTCTTTTTTGTACAACAGTGAAAGTGCTTGTATGTTTTACTTGCAGCTGAGTTCTTTTGTTCAGTTTCTTTTCATTTATTGTATAGCTACTTTTCTTGCCAACCTAGTGATTTCTTGCTGTGCATTTTATCATTTTGCTTACTCCATTCGGCACATAGCGTAGCACCGCACTCCACTTTACATCCATGGCTGTACGAACGTTTAATTGTGGTCATTTTCACCATTTCGATTTGCAATAGCTTTGCATGCATAGTCTTGCATTCTGCTTCTATGCCGTCGTTTTATAGCCTAAAAGGATTTTATCGTGAATCTAAAGTAAAAAGGTACGCGGATAGTGTTTTTTTTTTTTTTTTTTGTCAACTGGATGGTGTTTAAATTTGACTAGCCATCCTCAGTAACGAGGATTTGGACATTTTGTAGTTCATTTTTCAAGCCCTATCATTAGTTTTGTTTAAATTTGACTTGCTACCATTAGTTTTGTTTTTTCATCCATCCAACACCATTTTTTGGGGTAAATTCCTTGGAAGAGTCTGAAAACTTATTAGATGCGCCATGTTGATTAGCATCCGTTCTAAATCTTGCAGAGAAAAAATGTTCTTACTGGGAAAAGTGGGGAAAAAATGGTGATGAATACTCAAGTGCATCTTTCATTACGGCCTCAAGTTTCGTAAGAAGGTAGCAAAACTATCTCCCAAGATCGGGCACTCCAAAATAATAATTTTCTCCCTCAAGTTCCTTGCCCTGAACTTCTCCACTTCGCTCACCTTTGTCCCTTAGGATTTGCTCTGTATTGTATCCCGCTGCTTGCCAGGAAATTCTAAGGCTTCATTGGTTTTGATCGCATTCCTCTTCTCAACGCTGAAGTCCTAAAGCTTTGGTTCAAGTTCTCCAATTTTGGGGAAGCATTCTTGAGTGAAAAGAAGACTAAACAAAAGGACTGGATACCATAAATAACCATCAAAACTTATAAATGGGTGTGTAGGTTCCAAAGCGTTAAGAATTAGTGACTCAAGTGAAGCTGTCAGGGTTTTCTAGCATTGATAGGTGGATGGAAGCTCACGAAAACGCTATTTTTTAAAGATAAATTAAGCTTTTTATATTATGTTCAAAATAATGAAAGTGCTTAAAGAGTAGTGATACTTGAAATATGCTCGCAGAAGGTGGTAAGAAAGGAACGAAACTCAATGCAATGAAGACCAAATAAAAATGAAATAAAGGAACAATGAAACTTGAAGCAATGAAGACAAAGGAGAAAAATGAAAAGCTGATAAAAGACCAAGGGCCGAGTTAACTCACCTATTTTAGAAAGTAATTAATAATTATTATATTATTTTTTATAATATTTTATTTAAATAAATTAAATAATATATTTTAAATATAAAAATATTTTAAAAAATAAAAAAATATTTATTCAATACATTAAAATTTTATCATTAAAAATAATATCAAATATAATTATATTAAAAAAATTATAAAATAAAATAAAATTTAACTTTTGCATTTGTTTAATTTATTTAATTAAATTTAATATATTACGTTAATAATTTATGAATTTAATTAAAATTTAGTAATACATATTTTTTTAACTATACAATAATTAAATAATAAAATATTATTTTTTAAATACTATTTAATAGTTATTTAATAATTAATTAATTATTTAATATTATAGTGTAGTTAATTTTACGTATATTTATTAGTTCAAAATAATAAATTAATGCCACAAACACCTGATTTAACTTAGAGCTTAAAGTCTCTGTTGAAAAGGAAGAGAAGTGTGATAGTCATCATAAATAAAGTGAGTAAGATCTTTACAATCATGAAAACAACTATAAATACTACTCAATCTTCTTCTACTGAAATTTCTGCTATCCTCTTAAACTCACCAATGTCCTTACCAAAAAACTGTATTTGAATAGTTACGGACAAAATAGAAAATCTAATTGTATATACATATGTTCCTGAAGATGCAAAAGTCCATGAATCCATAGCTCCTTTATTAAGCCCGTACAATGTGTTTAGAAGAAAAAAATCTCCTCTTGCCAACAGGATAAACTTACTGATTCTTAGAAAACAATCTCCTATTAAAGAATATGTCTAGTCTACTAGAATAGACCAGTGTAAATTACCAGCCACTTCAAAAGAACAGTACATCAACCTTAAAATTTCTAAAACATTCATTGACTACTGAAAAACTGAAGGATATATTATTCTTCACTTTAGAGCAATTAGATTAATCTTATCATTACATGGTAGGAAAAATCTTCTTATCACTGCCAAAATTGCCCTCCTTGACACAACTTATATTCATTATGAGCATGCTGTCATTGCCACTTTGCTAACCACCCTTCATGTTGGAAGCGTGGTCCTGTCAATCTTCCCAAACTACAATGTTGCTTTGAAAGATAAAACTCTTCCAACCAGGTTGAAGGTTCAAATTCAGATTACTGGAGTAGAGCAAATTGAAGAAGCTCTGTCGGTTACACTCCATTATCAAATGATTTATAGGCTATCATGCACATGATCTTCCTCTTCTAGGAATGAATAATGACAATCTTTTTTTCATTGCTAATAGGAATGAAGATGATGTTCCTTCTATCATCCAAATTCCTAGACAGATTCCTAGGAAAGAACTCTTCAAATTGATCCTACTTGAATGGACAACTAATTATGAAAAAATTTGAAAGAACAACAAGTCAATCCAATCTTCTGAAGTTACTTTTAGGAGATATGTTGATGGTGGTGTCCGGATAATCTTTAAAAGACCAGAAGATGATCTCAGCCTGTCCACTAACTGTTTTCAATCTATGATGATCACTCCAGTAACTGGAGAAGATAAAATTCCAGTATACAGCTTCAAACTAGATGGGTCTGCCATCTTTTCTGATAAATTTGATGGTCACTTCATGTGGGATGTTGATCCTTCAATATTTGATCTTGAATGTGATTGCTGGATGCACTCTGGTAATACATCCATATTTGATCACCTGGCCTCCTCTACCAGGACTTTGTAATTCTTTCGTCTCTCTTCCTGAAAAAGTTTAGAATCCTATTTCTTGCATGATGTTTTCTAGATATGATGAAGAATTTTCTTTTCTTGAAAGGAAAGTAGATCCTGTCACTAAGGTCAACACTAGACCTTTAGTGATTCCTTTTGAAGTCCAACCAGATGGAGTTCTAAAAGCTCTATCCCAAGCTGAAGAAGTTCTTAACTGGCATACTAAGAATTCTTTGGTCCAAAATAAGCTTTTAAGAAAAATGGATGGAAAAATAGATCAGATCGCTGATTCCATCCACAAAAATGATGAAATACTCCAATACTTATCTGAAAAGCTCATAAAGTATTACAAAGAATCTCAAAAGCAGATTGCTAGATTGAAATTGGACATTTCAAAGTTAACTGAAGAAAAGGTTGTATTCGCAGGAAAATACCACAAGAAAGACAAATAAATCGGGAGATTAAAGGAGCAGATCAAAGAAATGGATGAGATAATCTCAATCAAACAACAGAATAGAGAACATGAAATAAATCGTTTCTTTATACCACCTCTTGTGCAGTAAAGTTATTATTCTCCTTTCAGTCCATCTCCTTTTTATTCTAGGAAAACATTTACAGCCTGTTCATACTCTCTTCCTTCAGTATACAGGCCAAAACCTGAGCCTATTCCTAAAAGCTCAAAAGGAAAAGGAAAGATGAGTATCTCTTCTTCTGATACTATCAAAACAAAAGATTTAGATTCCTCAGAAGAGGATCAATCTCCTCCAAAGAAATCTTTAAAAACTATTCCAGAAAAAACCCCTTTTCAAGGATTAGTGACTGAGAGAGAAAATAGTACTAATGAATCTGATTCCAGTTTATCTTAAGAAGAAACAATTAGAGAATCGTCTGAAGTTTCCAATTTTGATGATTCCCAAAGCAATTCAGAAATATCCAAAGAATCATCTGAAATAATTTCAACAGAAACATCAGAAGCATTAGAAAATGATTTCACTGACATTACTAGGATGATGATGGTCCATACAGCTGAATCCAGTAATTTTAAAGGATCTTTTATGATTCTCAAGAAAATGAAGAAGAAGAAGTTAACAAGAAGGAAAAAAAAAAGGATCTAAACTTAATGGAGGTCCTTATTTTACTCTCGATGATGTTTCTTCTCAACATTGGAGAAAGTGACTACTTGATTTTGTTGCATATGCTGATCCATAGAAAGTCATTGAAAAATTTTGTTGTAGAATGATTGGTTCCTTAAAAGAATGGTACCACAATCTTGGAAGTGTGAAACAAGACCACTTTCACCAATTGGCCAATACACGCTCAGTTCTTGGAGCAATTCACCAAGAATTTGTGGGAGATACAGATCTTTATGATAAAAAAGTCAGGCATGATTATTTTGAAATGAAGTGTTACTCGTTGAAGAAAAGTCATTTGAATAAGCATTATAAGAGAATGGTAGAAAGTTTCTATCTCCTTAATGGATACAATGATACCAGTCTCAAAAACACTTATGTTGCTTCTCTTCCCGAAGAATTACAACATGAAATTCACAAGGTGATTACTGCTCAAGGGAGAGACTTAACCAACTTAAGTCTTGGACAAATCCACCAGATGACTATAGAAGCTCTTGACAAACTTTGTAGACAACATTTGTTCTTCATAGATGTTATGAATCAAAGATCAAAATTCACTAAAGCATGCAAGAAAAATTATCTTAAAATTGGGTGCAAAGACAAGAAGTGTGTCTGTTCATCCAAAAAGAAAGGAAAGATAAAGAAGTTCTCAAAGAAAAAGAAAAAGAAAAAGAATATAAATTTTTTTAAGAAGAAATCTAAAAAAGGGAAAAACAAAGGCACCAGATGTTTTATATGTGGAAAGAAAGGGCATTTTGCAAAAAAATGTCCTAACAAAGATTCTATAGCTCAAAATCTGATAAATTCATTAGATCTTATTGAAGGAGACATTGA